CATGGGCAACTTATTGAGGCTCTCTCTCAAAATTTAGAAAATAAATAAAGGGGGCAGGGGTGTGGCTCAAGCGGTAGCGCGCTCGCCTGGCATGTGTGCGGCCCGGGGTTCAATCCTCAGCACCACATACAAACAAAGATGTTGTGTCCGCCGAAAACTAAAAAAATAAAAAAATAAATATAAAAAAAAAAAGAAAATAAATAAAGGGACTGGGAATGTTCTTAGTGGTAAAATGCCTCCTAGGTTCAATCCCCAGGATCAAAATGCTCTAGCTGGCTCATTGAAAATCCAGCTAGCATGGAAACAGGCCAGACCTCATCCTAAATTAGTGGGCAATACCTGCCACTAACAATACTTACTGGGCTTTTCCAGATGCCAAGCCCTATGCCAAGTGCTTTGTTTTCATCATCTCATTTATTCCTCCCACAGCCCTGACAGACTGGCGATTATGCCCATTTTTTAGACAAGTGCACAGAGGCTCAAGAAAGTTGAGTAACTCATGCTAAACGCAGTTGCTTGGGTCTGGCAGTACAGTCCTAGTTCTGTGGACTTCATTATGCTGCCCACAGGCCCCCAAATCAGAGATTATGCCAACAGAACAGGCACTCCCTATAGTACCTGGGCACTCAGGTATGACCTGTGGCCAGCAGCATCAGCAACACCTGGGTTCTGGTTAGACACAGAAATCTGGCCTCCAAATTTGAAATCAACTCTTAGCAAGACCCCTAGGTGAGCTGGGTACAGTGGCACGTGCCTGTAATCCCAGTATTCAGGAGGCAGGAGGATCACAAGTTTTGAGGCCAGTCTTGGCAACTTACCAAGACCCTGTCTCAAAATAAAATTTAAAAAGGACTGGAGGTGTGGCCCAGGGTGGAGCCTTGCTTAAATGAGTCCCAGAGTCAGTTTGGTTTGAAAAACCCTGACCTGGAGCATAGGGCTCTTGACTCCAGCTCCCCAGAGGCCAAGAGGTGAGGGGCAGGGGCTGAGGGATCCTTCCTAAGGACCGGAGGGGGGCTGGGATGGCCCCCCATTATCCCTGCTCCTTGCAGCTGGCCCTTCCCTCTTTGGAGTCCTCCAGGCATGGGGACCTCAAAAGTGGGAGTCAGTGCGTGTGTCCAGATGGTCTCCTAGGCCTGCCCAGCTCAGTCCACACTCTGAGACCTGGGAGAACCCCTGACCTTTCCAGGAGAGGGTGAAACAGAACAAGAAGGCCCCCAGCTCCAACAACTCCACAGCCCAATGGAGTAAGCCCTAAAGGAATCCCAGCAAGGGAGAAGCTGGGGCTGGGAGCGGAGCCCAGCAGTTTGCTTCCACTGCATTTAACCTCTGCGGGCAACAAGATTTTATTCAAAACTTTTGCCAGTGACACTGCCTTTAAATGAAGAAAGAAGCACTGGCTCTGACCACTGAGTGGCTCCCGTGTGCCAGGCAACATGTGGGATAAGCTGGTCCTCATGATCCTCCTATAGGTTACGATTATACCCACCTGTCACAGGTAAGGAAACTGGGCCAAGGGAACATGAACTTGTCCAGGTCTCACTGTTAACAAGTCTCAGTTTTCAATCCTCAAACTATTAGCACATGGAACTGCAACGCAGAGAGCCCACGAGTCCTGGGGACACGAATAGTTTCAGGAGCCTGGGCCATTGTATCGGAAAAGGGAAGAACTTGAAATTGAATTCCCAAGGAATTAGTCTGCAGTGTAGACCACCCTGGTCAGGCCATCTTTCAAGGACAGCATTTGAGCTCATGGAGTGGAAAGTGGTCCATTCCCAGTCATGGTCCTCTGGCTCAGGGCCCAGATGTCCCAGCTGACCTGCACATAGAACTGGATGCCCACGTGCCTCACTGTGCCTGGGAGGACAGCTTGTCTGTGAGTGGTACTGAGCATGCTCCTTCCCATCAGCCCCATGGAGCAGGCAGGAAAAGCAAGGGGCTGAGGAGGCTCCTAACACCTTTTCAGAAAGCCACCCTCCCATGTCACACAACATCTGTAGTGCCAGCGGGCAAATGGGCAGGAGGTGATCACCAAGGAGGAAACCCAGGCGACTAATCAGCTTTGAAGCTTTCTAGGAACACCAGCCCATGAAGTAAGAAAAGGGATCCAGCCGCCCAATTGCTTGGCGTCCAAGCATTTCCCCATGGGGCCATACCCTTGTCAGGGAGAGGCCATGTCAGACTGCCAGTGCTTAGGGGCAAACCCTTCAGCTGTCTCCAGGACCCCCAAGGATTATCCAGGCTGACCCCACTCACATCTTAATTCCTTATACTGTTAGGGTTAAAGGAAACCAAACATCTTGAAGGTATTACCATTTATAGGGAAACATATTTGCAGGCTGAGGCTATAGCTCAGTGGTAGAGCGCTTGCCTAGCAGGTGCAAGGCCCGGGATCAATCCCCAGTACCAAAAAAAAAAAAAAATAGAGTTTCTCCCCTTTCCCCTGCCTTTTCTCCCCTCCCTCAAACCCCCTGGGGATTTATTTCCCAGGACCCCAGGCTGGTGATGCAGAGATTCCACAGGGCCTCTGTCCCTCAGCACCAACACAGGCCTGGGAGGATGTGGACAGCATCTCCCTGAGGAGTCTCATTTCTTCCACCCTCAGTCTTCCCTGAGTTCCCACCCTCTGTCCACTATATCTTCCACACACCCAGCCATCTGCTCCCAGGCTCCAGCCACCCTCCCCCTGTACTGCCAGGAAGCTTGGATGAGGGGTGGCTGAGCCAGAAGTGATTCTGTCTCAAAGTCCAGGGCTGCCTCCCAGGGAGCTCCATATGGGGGCCTGGATCAGCCTTCCTTAGAACAAAGGGGCATCTTAAGCCCAGCGAGAGGGCTCCTGCCTTGAACAATTCATCACTCACCAACCGTTCAGAGCAACTGTGCAAATGCCCTCAGAGCCGGGAAGAAAACTTGTCGGGCGCTGGGCCAGAGAAAAGGCAGAGTGCCATAGGAGGTAAATGGAGGCATATTGTTCAGGCCGCCTAGAGCGCAGTCCTGGCTCTTCTGCTTAGAAGAATGTCACTGAACCCCTGCTAAGGTTTAGTTTTCTCATCTGTGAAAGGGAAATGATGATGGCCTATCTTCCAGGGTCCTGGTGATGACTCAGTGAGTTAATCCACCAGGGTGCCTGGCATGCAGCAAGTACTCACTAAGCCATAGCTACAGATTATTACCAATGAATGCCAAAACAGCCTCTCCAAGGGACAACCACCTCCCCAAAGTATAGATGTATGAAATGGAGAACGTTTTTTACTTGCCAAAACTTTTGCCCTGTGTCAAGAGCAGTGCTTCTCAACCATGACCCCCCATGGGTGTCCTCAGCTTGCTGCCTCCCCAAGATGCATCACTAATTTTGGTTTACACAACACACTCTGAATGTGCATAGCACAGCATGGATCAAACACAACAATAATAATAGCAGAATTTTCAGGACAGAGCAGCTAAAGTACAACTATTATTTTTATCACCACAACAATAGATGATCCATCAGGGCCAGCAAAGCACAGTTCTAGAGCTGAAATACCTTGTCTGGCCTTTTCTCTCCCATCCAAAAAAGCTCATTAGCATAAAGATGGATGCTATCAATGAGATAAGCCTTAAATATAAATTTTATATATATATATATCGGGAGGATTCCCCGGGAGCTGTGTGAAGTGTTTTCCTGCAGTTCAAAAATAAAGTTTGTTCCTGCTTCAGTGGCTCGTGATTTGTGCCCAGCCAGACTGCGGCATATATATATATATATATATATATATATATATATATATATATATATATATATATATATAAAATTTGGTACTGGGGATTGAACTCAGGGACACTCAACCACTGAGTCACATCCCGGCCCTATTTTTGTATTTTATTTAGAGACAGGGTCTCACTGAATTGCTTAGCACCGTGCCATTGCTGAGGCTGGCTTTGAACTTGGGATCCTACTGCCTTAGCCTCCCAAGCCACTGTGATTACCGGTGTGCTCCACTGCCCCCAGTCACATATTTTTTTAAAATATATTTTTTAGTTGTAGATGGACACAGTACCTTTACTTTATTTATTTATTTTTATGTGTGCTGAGGATCAAACCCAGTGTTTCATATGTGCTAGGCGAACACTCTATCACTGAGCCACAATTCCAGCCCCTACCACATATTTTTTTATTGATTTATTTTTCTTATGGTATTGGGAATTGAACCCAGGGCCTCAGGCTTGTTAGGCAAATGCTCTGCCATTGAGCTGTATCCCCAACCTACCATATACTTTTAAAATAAGTTTGGTGACAAGCTTCAGCACTCCACTGCTTGTATAGAGAGGTCTTATACTACCCAAAAAGTTCTAAAGTCAGCACGTAATTTAAAAAATATATGCAGCCAGGGCTGGGGTTGTGGCTCAAAGGAAGAGTGCTCACCTAGCATGCATGAGGCACTGGGTTCGATCCTCAGCACCACAAAAATAAATAAATAAATAAATAAAGGTATTGTGTCCACTTATAACTAAAAAATAAATGTTTAAAAAAATGCATGTAGGGGGCTGGAGATATAGCTCAGTTGGTAGAGTGCTTGCCTCACATGCACAAGGCCATGGGTTCAATCCCCAGCACCAGACACAAACACACACACACACAAAAAAATGCATGTAGCACAAAAATTTCTTACATCACTCACAAATAAGGCATTATTTACATAAGAAACATATTCAATGGATCAAGATGCTTGAAGGTACCACAGACATACGCAGCTAAGACAAGCTGGTCCAAGACTAAAGCCCAAGAATCCTCACCCCCACACCCGGAGTGTTTGGCTACATTCTTGTGCATTCAACATTCCAATCCCTTAAAGGAGCACATGATACAATTTATCACCCCAATTCATGCCATGCACCTCTTAACTGACCCATGCTGGGAAATTAGTTCTCCAGAACATTGCAAGAGATGGCACTTCCTTCCTGCCCCCAGGTGACCCTGGATTACCAATCTGACTTACACAAAAGGAAACGGGGTGTGCACTTACTTGCAGCCTGGATTCGAGCCTTCCGGCTGACCACCAGTCCAAAGCGGTTCTGAGCGACACACTCATAGTCACCCTCATCTGAAGGGCTGCCTCCCCGCTCCAGCCTGAAGTGATGGATCAGCAAGGACCCATTGGCCAGCAAGGTAGAGTGGGTACTCTCAGCAAGCTCCACCCCATTCTTCCTCCAGGTTATTCGCACTGGAGGGGTCCCCTCCACTTTGCAGCCCAGCACTACAGGCTGCCCTGGGACAGCAACATCATCACTGGGCTCCACAGCAAATGCCAGTTCTGCAGAGTGGCCAAGACCTGCATCAGGGAAGGGGAGATGAGAGGAAAAGGAGACCTTAGTGTAAAATCCACACACTGGGATTTCCAGTTCCCTGGGCCTAGCATCCTATTCCCATGTTTCAGTCATGTTAATAGAAATCCCTGTTATATACAGAACCTTATGCATTGCAAAGTACCATCCCAAGCAGTATTTTCTTAATCACAGACCACCTCAGAAAGATGAATATTATTTGTACCATTTCCTCTTTCACCAAAAAAGAAACTAAAGCCCAAATATGTTAAGGGACTTGCCCAGGGTTTCACAGTTAGTAGCTACAAATCTGTGATTCAAGACTGATTCCAACACAGCTGCTGCCCTTCTGGGGTCACCCTGGATAAGCACTGAAGTCTCACAGACATCAGGAGGTGATCTTAGGTGAAAGGATCAACTTGTCTTGGCTTCTCACTTCTCATCTGTTTAAATTAGGGAACAACAATGTAGCTTGTGTCATAGGGTTGTTTGACATGATTTACAAACTCAGTGCACTATGGATATTCAAAAGTTCTAAAGAAATGTAATGAGATAGTAATAAATCATGCTTCTTTTTGCTGGCAAAATCATCAGAGGCCTGGTTCAATGCCTGGCATAGGGAGCAGGGGGTGGGGGCCCATTACACAGGGTACAGGCTAGGCTGTGGCCTGTAGACCCCTTCCCTCCCTGCTCTGGGTGTTGGACCAGTGAGTGGCCTTTGTTATACGGAGAGATGAGAAGTCGTAAGCACCAACTAAGATTCCCAACACTTAGCAGGACAGGGACCTAGAGCCTTTTACTATTGCAGAAGAAAAGAAATGAGCTGAGAAAGGAGGAGGGAAAAGAAGAGGCTGATCTGGAAATCAGAAGCCCGACAGGAGGAACAAGCATCTCAGGCACGATGCCAAGTCACCAAGTTCTCCAGCAGCCAACTTACCAGACCTGTTACAACTTCACTCCAGGAGGAATGAACCCACCTGGTCTGAATGGGCAGCCACAAATTCCTGCTCACATTTCCAGGGAAATAGTGATCCTGAAACTGGCCCAGCCCAACAGACCAGGGCCCTCCCCTGCTAGGGGATACCGGGAAGTGGGTGAGGAGAAAGGAGGAGTGCCGGAATGCTGGGCATCGCCCAGACCCCCAGGGATATGTGAGGTTTTAAGGCACTTGAGGATCATACTCCAAACCCTCACCATCCTCCCCATATTCAGAGTTTTAGCTGCCTGAGTCCCTAATTCAACCCGGGTATAGCCAACCGGGAGACTAAAGTTTCTCCCTGATGTGAACGCAATATTCTGCTTGTTAGAAGGGAAGAAGAGAGAAAATAGCCCAAATGTGTGTCTGCTGAGAATTTGGAGTGGGAGAGGAAGGGACTAGATTGGCATCCCTCTCCTATTTGATGGGCCCCTTACAGTCACCAAGGGAACAGGGTGCTGGTGATGGAGCTCAGGGCAGCAAAGCCGGACAGCGCCGCGAGCCCAGGGACAGGGTCTCTCTACGAGTACACTCTCTGGGGAAGGGCGCGGCACGTGGGCATCCGGTGGCTGGCTCTGGCTCTCAGAAGGTTCTCCTTTCCTCCTTCTCTCCTGGGCTCTCTCCCGGCTCGCTCTCTCCCCACACGCCGCCCGCCCAGAATCTTCCTCCTCCTCTTCCTCCATCTGTCCTGAGCACTCCCGGCCCCAGTCTCAACTCCAAATCCGGGATGTGCCCTCTCAGTCCCGCGCAGTGGACTGGGATCCGGCCTCCGCCCCGCGGTCTACTGTCTCCTGCCTCTGTCGGTCGCCTCGGGCGACTCAGGGTCCACGGCTAGGCTACAAGCATCCCAGTTCGCCTCCCTCGGCTGGGACTCAGCCATGCAGTCTCCCCTGGCTGGTTTCTGTATCCCCAACGCCAGCCCGCTCCCCTCCCCTAGCTCCTGTTTCGCCACCCTCCGTCCACTCGGTCCGAGATCTGGGTCCTGTCCTGCGTCCCGGAGCGGTAGCGGACCGAGCCCGGGAATCTCTCCTGGGGCTCCGTTCTCAGCACCCCGCTTCAGTCTTAGGCAGCCCCGCCTCGGTTTCTCTCTCGGTCCCTCTCCACTCTGTCCCGCTCGGTCCCTTCTGAGCCAGGTCTGCCCGCAGGTCCGCGCCGCACTCCCGGGGTCCGCCCCTCGCGCCCGCTTACTCCCCTCCGGTCCAGCCCTGGGCTCTGTCCACAGCCGCTGGGGCTGAGGGCGCCCTCGCTCACCCTCGCTTGGCGCGGGCAGCAGTAGCGGCAGCAGCAGCGATAGCAGGAGCCGGGGCCAGCGCGGCGCAGGCGGGCGGCGCGGGGACGCGGTGCGCGGCGCAGCCATGGGGCTCTCGGTCCGCTGGGCTCGGCGACGCGCAGCTCCCGGGCCTCTCGCGGCTCACAGCGTCCCGCGGGGCCGGCGCCGGGGCCGGGGCCGGGGCTCTGGCCGGGGCCGAGCCCGGGCGGCGGGGGGCTGGGGCCGCATGCCTGCCTAGGAACGCGGGGGGCGCAGAGGGAGCTCCGCTTGCGCCATCTTGCACCCACTCCGGCGATCTGTCAGCCTCGCCCGGGGTGCGCGCTCCGCACTCGCACCGCCCGCGCCCGCCCCGCCCTCCTCCTCTGCCCGCCGCCCCCCTTCTCTCCCCTCCGGGTCCCCTCCCCCAGCCCCCTCTCCCCGGAGGCCGGGTCTGGGGAACAAAAGAGCCGGCGAGCGCTTTAAGCGGCCGGACATTCCCGGCTGCGCGGCGGACGCGCCCCCTGCGCTTTGAACTGTGGCTGGAGCGGCCGGCGCCGTCTCGGGCTGTAGCCCTGTGTCCCCTCGCGGCCCGCCAGTCCCGGACTTGAGCGTCTGGAGAAGTATAGACCCAGCGGAACACGTCAGGGCTGAGAAGAAACACGCAAAGCTGAGGGATTTACTCTGACCCACTCTTTCTGCTGCGCCCTCCTCCAATGTATCCAAGACTTTATTTTAGGGCTAATTCCCTAGAAGCTACTCAAAGTTGTCAGAGACTGAGAATTCCGTGGGCACCTGGTCTTTCCTCTCAAACTCAAAGCATAGGTCGTTCTGCCGCAAGACTGGCTTTCCTAGACTAGGAGTTAAGGCAACTCCTCAATCTTGGGTAGATTGCCTGAGAAGAACAGACCCAACAGGATCCACCCCACTTTTGCCTGCTGCCTGGCCCAGGAAATCACTCACTGAGCTTGTCTGAAAGGTGAAGATAATCATATCTCTCCTACACGACCCAGGAGACCTTTAAATGGCACAGGCCTGGACAAATGATTTAGTAACTGGGAAAGCACACTGAAAATTAAAGTTGTCAATAACATCTCTGTGCCACACAGATTCTGATGTTTCGTGTCAGAAAACATAAGACGATAACAAAGGTGCCTATGAGAATATTACAGAAGGCAAGCATGTCTCTTAGGGCAAATGTATTCTTGCTAGCCCTGGAGCTCTGGCTTCACTCGGTTATTTGCTCCTCTGCCATTGGATTGGCAGTGCTGGGAATTCAACCCAGTGCCTCATACTTGCTAGGCAAGTGCTCTACCACTGAGCCACAAACCCAGCCCCTTTTATTTTATTTTGAGATACAGTCCCATTAACTTGTTCAGAGTGGCTTCAAACTTGCAATCCTCCTGCCTTGGCATCGTGAGTAGCTGAGATTACAGGTGTGCATCATTGTGCAAGCCTTAAGTCTGTCTTTTGATATTAACTCTGGACCCTTGGAACTAGGAGTGTTATATAAAGTCATTTTTGGTGGTAAATGCCTGCAGAAATCAGACTGCTTTTACATGGACAAGTCTGCTAATGAGAGGGTTTGTACAGCACAGGGACTCCTCACTCTCCAGTAGAAACTGGAAGATGAGCCTGAGAAACAAGACGTAAGGCATGTGAGCAGTGGGAGGCGATGGAGAAATTCAAGGTCAGGGACCCAGTGTGTCATAGCCCCAAATGGATTTCATTGTGAGAATTGGCAAGTGAGGCCTCTACTGGCCATAGGAAAGGTAGGGAAAGAGGGACCTCCCAGGCCTAAAGTCCTGGAACTACTCCCCTGCAGGGCTTGAATCCTCAACAACCCCTTCTTGACATGTCCTGGGCTCTGAGAGGTCAAATTGGTGTCCTGAATTGTTGTCATTTTAAATTCATCTTGACAAGTGTTTAATTCTTCTTTATCACAACGCTTGGTCTGAGAGTGATATGCAAATAATGGCTATTCTACTGCATGCAAAATGTGCAGTATCTCTCTGTATGATCTGTCAATTAACTCTGGGTCTGGCCCACCCGCCACTTTGGGGGTGGTCCTGGTCAGGACAGTCTCTGGCTCTTGGTTTCTTCCAATAGAAAAATCCATTCCTGGCTCTTTATAGAGCCTGGAGCAGCTGCCAGCTGTGATCCTGAGATGTGCGTGGGGTGTGAGTGTGAAGTTCTGGATGTCAGACTGTGTATGCACTTGAGTTAATGGACACCAGCGTGTTTGTGTAGGTGACTATGCATCTGTGAATCTGAGCTCACAGACATAGTGCCCATGTGTGTGAATGTGCAGGCATCAGTAATTTTGATGACCAGCTATAAAGAATGGTTGTGGAACCCACAGCTCTTTCCTTCTACCTAAGAAAGTTCAGGAAAGTGTGTGCCCAGATGCAGAGAGGTCCCCAGAGAGTTTGCATGCCATCAAAGAACACATCTTCCCTCATGGTTTCTTTGTGTGGGGAGGGGTGTTTAACACTGGGCCTTTTGAATGCTTATGATAGGCAAGTGCTCTACCAAAGAGTTACACCCCCAGCCCCTTTTCCTAAACTTAAATTTTTTCTTAAGTGCCTGTTGAGGGGAGGAGATGGGTTAGTTCTTTCTTGTGAACATTTTCTCTACCCTTAAAAAAAACCACCATTTCCTATCCTTGTAGGAAATGAACTCCCCAGGGTAGAAAAGCTGAGAGAATTCGAAACATTAGTTCCATAAAGAATAACATATGTCTGGAAAATAGTTTATTAATTCATTATGGGGGTAGATACATGATCAATGCCTTAGCTTAACACTAAAGAATATCATATTCATAAGGAAAAAAAATGCTGGAAAAATAATTAAATAATACATCATAAACTAAATATAGACAAATAAATGAGCAAGTACCGATTACACTTGTCATGCATCAAGAAAAGGAAGATTTTTAAATGAGACTCAAAAAACTTAAGGCATCAATGGTAGGTGACAAAGGGATTAATACCCTATAAAAGGCCAATAGACTCTTTTCTAATAAAAATACTGCTACAAAGACACAAACCTAACACTTCCAAATTACCCAGAGCCCAAATCATATATAATGCTAGTGAGTAATGGCCACTTTCTTATCAACTGTGAGTTATAGGCAGATACCAGATTTATTACTTATTTGCTTTTGAGAAACAATTTTCCACCTAACCTAATGGGTTATAAATTGTCTCATTTGCAGCTATTTAATTTAAACCAGAACCTCAGTGCCTGTTAAACAAGAACATGAAAAATGACTATGTGGTGTAATGCTAAGAGCCTACTGTTAAAACAGCCATTTAATTCAGAGCAGTTTTTTTCTTAAAAAAAAAAAAAATCAAACCAGGAAAATAAAATGAGGCTTTTGACCTTCACAGCAACGATGAAACATACACAGTGGCGTCGGCTACGGCAAAGCTGAATGCTACAGAAAGAGTATAAGTGACAATTCTGTCTTTAACGAGATACAAAACCGACATTAATAATCTTTAGTGTTATCATAGGCTGGCTGAAGGAGGGGAGGAGGAGGAAATGTAGGTGAGGATGTCAACCGTGAGTGACACCCGAGTGTAATAAACACAGATGCATTCAGGGGCTGAGGAGGCTGCAGCTCCACTGAGAGACATTTCAACGTTAAAAAAAAAAAAGATGGAAAGAAAAGAAAAGAAAGATAGACTGCTTATTTCTAATTTGGCCCAGAAGTCAGAGTTAACTCTTGATGTGCAGATCAGTTAAAAAGACGCAGTTAGGGAGCAAGAGACCCCACATTCTATGCTCCTGAGAGGGCTGAGGTGAAAAATCAAATAAATGACAGGGTTTTCACTGCACAGGAAACAGAAGTCAAGCTTGTCCCTGTGCAACGGGTCAATAGAAAATTACTTCAGGATTCAAAAAAGAAAAAAATAGTAAAATAAGCCAAACCCACTTTTCCTATGAAAGACCTCCCTTCCAGCCTCCTGGAGGAAGAGACTCCAGTCCCCCTACCTAGATCCAGTCCCATTCAATGTGCTGGGGTGGGGTGCAAGCTGCTGGGCTGCCCCCCTTACTCCAGCTCCCCTCTCCCCTTTCAGCTTCAGGAGGGAAGAAAGGTAACAATCCACCTCCATCCTGAATGGAAGGGAGGAAATCCCTATATTCCAAGCCTCTGGGTCATAGTTCCCTTCTGCCTCAAAACTTCCCTTGTGACTTGGATTCATCAGCTCTATGGAGAACCCTCCCATCCCAGGTCCAAGGAGAAAGAGGAAGTGGAAGCTAGGTCTTCTCCAAACCTGCCCTGGGGGCGGGTGGTCTACCTGGGGAGGGGGCCGGTGGAGGAGGACCGAGCAGAGGAAGTGGGGGAAGAGGTGGAGGGAGGGGTGTGTGTTCAGGGGAATGTGGCTGACATAGGAGTCATGCTGTGGCCTGAAGCAGACATGAGGTAGCCATGTTGTTAGGGAAGGGTGCAGAGGTTGAAGCCAGGCAGAACTGGATGGCACAGTCTGGAGAGACATGAGGGATAAGAGAGACAGAGAGAAAGGGAAACGAGAGAGGAAAGGGAGACCTCACTGGGAAGAGGACACTGGAACTGGAACCCAGAGAGCAAACTATCTAGAGATAGATCACTAGAGCAGGGAAGAGGGAGAAAGGGAGTGGGGAAAAGAATATAGATTTCCAAAGCCAGGCACTTCCCAAATTATAAAATCAGACACAGAGTTGCTCTGAGTGGAGCCCGTGTCACCCTCTAAATTTGGGTCATGGGGTTATGGGAGGTGAAGGCGGTGTGGCTAAAATGTCAGGCATTCAGAGCCTACTGCACTCAGCCCAGCCAGACAGGAGAGTGGGCTGGGGCCGTCTTTGTCAGACAGGGCATTGGAGACACTCGCAGAGTGTGTAATAAAAGGCTGGGTGACAGAGGTGGGAGCCCACAGGGATGGGGACTAACCACTCTGGGATACTGTTCTGACCTGGAGAATCGATTAGGCCCTAACCACCATTATGGTAGCCAGGGTTTCCCAGTTCACCAACCAGTACACACACATGTGGCTTCACACATGTGCACATCACACGTAGCTGTGTCTCACATGTCTCTCACATATTTATCACATGTGTGTCACAAA